TTAAAAGGAGCCCCTCCTTCCAAACAAACAATCCCCGCCTCCCCACGCGAAGCGTTAGAGGACTACTTCGACAATTGATTTTGATAGAAATAGCAAGCCACCCAAGCAATGAAACCCAGATGGATAAAATTGATGTCTTGGGACTTTGTTAGACGTAGTATTTCAACTACTTTAGTTATAGCTAGTTGGAATTTGTTTTATAAATCACATCTAGATCAATTAGTAGTATACTTTATGAATACAGAGTTACCATTTAAGGTATGTGACAAGAACGCATGTGAAAATCATTTGCCTTATGGGGTGTTTGGTTGGGGGAATTTGTAGTGTATTGTAAATCTTTTGTAGTGATTTTGAAAATTATGTGTTTTGGACAAAGAATTAAAAATACAATGTAAAATATGAATCAATTTGAAATTTACACCTCAATTCATTTTTGTATGAATTTAGAATTCGACTAATTTGGCCGAATTTGAGATTTATACCATTCATTAATGTAAAATGTTATTGAAAGGTGGTGTCGCCAGACGCCTCCCATTGCCCGCTGCCTCTCGCCACCACCTACAGTTGCCCGCCGCCTTCTGCCGCCGCCCGCCCTGTAGCCTCACGCCACAAGCTGTCCTCTTGCCTGCCGCACGGCGTCACCTACTGTCGATTATCCATTGGTACCCACCAACGCTAGTCGTCACTACAACTGCTCACCTCCATTGCCACCGTAGTATGTCGCCATGGTTCACAACCGTTGGTCGTTGGCGTCAATTGCCGGTCTCCGCTGCTTGATGCTGCCCTCCACCCGCCAATAATATTTTATATTATTCTGAAATATATTATTTTTAATCTACTTTAAATCAAACAAAAAAAATACTACGATTATTTTACTATGAACCAAATTACTCTAAAGATTTTCAAATACAATACATTACTTCTATTTTGTATTCATTTTACATTGTTTTACTTTTTCAGCAAAACAAATGGCCCCTTAACTCCTTTATTATGTTTCAAAAGGGGAGTATGAATTTATAGAAAAGAGGTTATATTTTTTATAGCATTCTTTCACAAATTAACTCAATAGTAATATTTAGAAGTGACAATCTTATAAAATACTAGCGGAAAACTTTGAAATTGATATAATTATAACATTATTGATCGGAGAAAAAAAAAACCACAAAACTCTACCAATTCCTTCGTCTGGTTTTATAATGTGTTATACAGTACATTTTGAAAAAATCTTACATTAGATCATGTTTCTTGAAAACTCCAATTTTTTTTTACATTGTTTTACATTTTCAGCAAAACAAATGGCCCCTTAACTTCTTTATTATGTTTCAAAAGGGGAGTATGAATTTATAGAAAAGAGGTTATATTTTTTATAGCATTCTTTCACAAATTAACTCAATAGTAATATTTAGAAGTGACAATCTTATAAAATACTAGCGGAAAACTTTGAAATTGATATAATTATAACATTATGCAATTATAACATTATTGATCGGAGCAAAAAAAACCACAAAACTCTACCAATTCCTTCGTCCGGTTTTATAATGTGTTATACAGTACACTTTGAAAAAATCCTACATTAGATCATGTTTCTTGAAAACTCTACCAATTTTTTTTTTGCGAAACTTTATGATGCGAGCATTTGGTATAAATGTTGTAATTCTTATTGTTAAATCCTTTTTGCAGGATCGCTCCCTTGACTTTTACGCATTATGTGCTCTATATGCTGTTACTGGTAATTAACTCTTATATTTGGCACATTTATGTTTTTCTTTTTCTTTATTATGTATGAAACATGATGAAAATTTTGTCTGGACTGGCCTAAACTTTGGAAAATATTTGCAAAGCACAATATTTTCTTAAAAGGTTGTGTCTAATCATATGCAAAAATTTTTGCTACTTATATTCATAGATATTCATTGGAATCTGTGATGCTTACGGGTGCATCTAATTTCATTCTTCAATAGAAAAATGGGATGCTATATATTGACCTCATATTGTTGTCAGAAGAACAAGAGAAATCCACATTTTTGTTTATGGTCTCTTATATTTGGTTACAACATAAAACCAGGCCTTTCTTTTTTTAAAATTCTTTATATAATCCTCTTTTTTCTTATCCGGTTAACAAGGAGAGCCATTTTAATGTTTTCAGTAATTTTCCTTGACTTTATTTATTATTATTATTATTATTTTAACAAGCTTACCTGGATAACCTTTTGCCATTTCGGCTTCCAGGCAAGATGCATACATTATGTCTTTGGAGAGCTTATAGGCTCCATCTATAATGCAAAAAACCATAAGAGTGACTAATACCAACGCTTTGATAAATGGATTCAACTTTTGGTTTTTTAGCTGACCACCAACAATACTAGCCTTGCAAGCGATTTCTCAACTGTTTGAAAAATGATAAGTTATGTGTTTGGTTCCATAATATGGGTGACATTTTTGCATGTATCAGTAAAAGGAGAAAAGTGTCAAAATGATCCTTTTGACTTTTTTTTTGTACAGGTTCATTTTAAAGTTTTCCCAATTTTTTTTTTTAATTATGGTCAAAATAGTTTTCTATATGGACTATTTCAACCAATATTAAAAGAATTTGACGATTAATTTGACATTTTTGTAGACTCTAAAACTAGAATGTTCCCATGTAAATAGTCATCAGACAACTTAAAATGAGGGGCATATGTGCAAATTACATATGATATTAATTTAGATTGATTTTATTTATCTTGCCATATTGCTTTGTCCAAATCATACCTTTTTGTTATATACTCTATCTTCACAACGCCTTTATGCTTTGTAGCTAGTTTTGCCTCTGATGTCAGATAACTTGACGAAGATTTCATCTATTAATTCCTTGTGTTTTACAACATATTTCAGATGTTGCTCTCGTAACATCACTAAGAGATGGCATGAATCTCGTAAGTTATGAGTTTGTAGCCTGCCAGGGTGCCAAAAAGGGTGTATTGATACTAAGTGAGGTAAGACATTACTGAGTTTGATTTAACTACAATATTGTTTAATATTAGCCTTTTTCTATTGTCGTAATTTTGATGGTTTTTTATTTCTCACTGAAATGGTTTAGGCTTGTTTTACTTGCAAAACAACTAGGTGTTTTCTCACGTCCTATTTTCTTGGGTAGTATAACTAAACTTGGTGGTTCCATACTTCCTTCCATCTCTTTGGGACCATTATGACTAATTCCCTCTTTTTTTTTTGTTCGACTTCCCAAGCAATTTGGAAATTGTTTTTAAGGATTTTTTAGTGTTGGCATAATGGTGCAACGTATGATCTTTAAGCATGAGTTGTCTTTGAGCTTTATAACATCGTCCAATTCCTATATATTTATTTATCTAACTACCTAAACTTTACTTTTCACATTTATATCATTCAAATCTTTCATACCACATAAAAATACTGTTGTTTTAACTTTTAAAAAGTTAAATAAACCTTCTCATGCATAGTTAGTGTGACATATATAAAAGTTGAAGTCTAGGAGTTTAGATGTTGTCACGATTTGACCTGGAAGTTTGGAATACCAAAACAAGAATGGACAGTCAGACAAAAGAAATTAACTATCTAAATATTTTCATTTCATAATTAAATTTAGAAAAAACACAAAAAAGTCATTCTATTCAATTTACAAATAGTTCATACAAATTTTAGATTTTTTTAATTAAAAAAATAAAAACTAAATTGGAAGAACTATCAGTTTAAGCTTCTTGATATATGTGTACATATTCTCAAAGATTCATCTATTATATAACATATTTTCCTGAAAAATATGATCCCTAAAGGTGCGAGGTAAATTACTCAGTAAATAAAATGCTTCTAAACTAAAATAAAATATTATCATGACCTGGCCTGAAAGCTTGGAATATCAAAATTGGAACGAATTGTCGGACGAAAAAAATTAGTTATCTAAATATTTTCATGCATATTTAAATCTAATCCAAAACACAAGTCATTCCATTTCATAAAATTTTAATTTATATATAGTTCATATAGATTTTAGATTTTTTATTACTAGCAAGAAATAAAAACTAAAGTAATAACCATTAGCCCAAGCTTTTCAGTGTGTGTGGATCCAGCTATTCTACATCATATTTTCTTGAAAAATCCGAGCAGTTGAATGTGTTAGTTAAACTACCCAGTGGGTTAAATATTTCTAAACTATAATAATTTTCATTTTAAAATATTTTATAAAAATACAGTAGGTAGTACTTTTATTTATTTTTGTTATGATATTCATCATTTAGAATGATTGTCTAAACGTATATTAAAAATATATGTTTAATATTTTCCAAAATCTACTAAAAAAGTATGCAATTATTTTCATTTTACGAGTACCAGTACATTGCATCCCCTATTAGTATAATTTGAGGTTAACTACATATATTCATGCTTATATCATATTTTATATCTTTCTTTTTTTTAATATGTGAAAGCTTGAAATTTGCATTTTAAAAGAAGTGCTAAAAGCAATAAAAAAAAGTAATTGCTTTCATAAATAAAAGAACTATTATAAAATAAAAATATATTTACTTCATTGTTTGAATTAATTTGTTACATTTTTTTTTTAATGAGACTAGTCATTTGAATCATATATAATGACAATTAAGTTGTGTTTACCTTCTATTCACTTTTTTATGCTTCATTCAAATTAACTCCAACCTCATTATTGTCATTATGAGTATTAATTAGATACATTTGTTTATAATTTCTCTACTTAATAAGCTACTTTTGAAGTATTTAATTAAGTATTCTAATATCTGATGCTTAATCTGAAGTTATTTTATTTTATTCATTGGTATTGATACATAGTTTAATTTATTATTATTTAGTCAATCACCTTTCAGCTTTTTTATTAGAAATTTCCATAACATTTCTTTTAGCACATTTAAGTTAAGAGGGTTCTAATGGATGTTTTAAACCTAGGGTTTCAAAAAATTAATTTACTATTGATACACCACTAATAAATTTTCATCATCCGACACGAATCTCGAGGCAATATTTTGAGCAAAAAATATTTAAATCTTGATAAAAAGTCAGTCAGAGCTCCGATTTCAGTAAAATTATAGTCAAACTGATCGGTTCGATGAGGACCAAATGATATCAAGGTTAGTTTAATTCGAGTCAAATCAAACCAAATCAAGCAATTAAATCATTTTTGGAAGATTTCCGGACACATTTGAAAGATAAAACTAATATCAAATTCAACGAGTTCATAGTCGAATCGAGTGTTTCAACAAGACAAATCCAACGAGCTCAAGATTGCTTAATTTCGACATTGTCAAGACACTCAAATATCCATCAAACGACTCCCGATCGGAGGAAGCTCTCCGAACCATCCGATCAAAATGGTTCATATTCCTGCATTAATTTGCACCCAGAACACTATAAATAGAGCCCTACCCCTCATATGAGGGAGGAAATCTGGAGAGAGAATTTGAGGTTTTGAGAAGGAGCTTAAGTCCAACATCATCTGTGTCATTGCAGACCGTCGTCGACCTCCGTCGATTACCGCCAACCGTCATCCACTGTCGTCGACCACCGCTAACCAGAGCCGTCAGTCGACGTTGTATCTTGGAATATCTAGTAACAATTTTCCGTCTATGGGATAAGAGGTCTCTGTAATCATGAACTTATAGTGGATTTTTTTAATTGTGTCAGGTCCCGTGGTTTTTTCCCTTTACGGGTTTTTCACGTGAAAAGTTCTGGTGTTATCACAACTTAATACTCTTTCATCTGAGTGTGTGTTGAATCCTCATGCAACGCTAAGACGATAATCCATTACTATACTACCACGAATTTTCTAGCACGCATCAACTATTAAATTAAACTTATTAAGAAATTGCATATTAATTATTGAAATTAAACTTTAGATCCTGAAAATTTCAGATTATCTCGCTTTTTTTTCTGATTTATGTCTCTCCCCTACGCTAACAAAATTTAATAAAACTTCTAAAATTTCAGTCACATGAATCCTGAAATTAAAGAAAAGAAAAACCTTAAATTTCGGTTCCTGAAGTTCACCTAAAAGCCGCAAACTTTCCCAAATCTTCTCCGTCTAGCCCCGTTTCTATGAACCGATCATGTAGGTGCTCTGGTCGAGCTCTCCCGGATGCGGACAAATGCCGCATGCGCGCAACACTGCGGAAGATGCTGCTCGGCTTTCCCTTTCTCTGCTCGCCAACGCTCGGAACTCAACGCTTCTGCACGAAGAAAAGCCTGCTTGACCCGCACCTTGCACTAGGAGCTTAAGGAGCTCCTTCGAGCTTCTCTCGAGTGCAGAAAGTGACGCCCGAATGGAGAGGAGATGCTCGGTTGCTCGCCTTCTCCATTTCTTCCTCCTGCGTGGCTAGCGGCAGTCGACAGAGCTGCTCGTCTCCTCCTCCTTCTTCGATTAGGGCCTCGCTGCTTCTCTCCTCTCTCGCGCTGTCTTTCTCCCTCGCTGTCTCTCGCGCTTTTTCTCTATCAGCCTCACTTCTCCTCTGTCTCACTCTGGTTTGTTTCGGTTCGAAGTGGAGGAAATGAGTGTACAATTGTCTTCCCACGGGCGGTGGGAGGTTTCCTCGATCGACACCTGCGCTGCTGTGCATTTTACGCAGGTAATTCATTTCTTTTTTTTTTCCTTTAATAATTTAGATAATTAAAATTTTTTAAATGTTGTTTTTTCAGATATTGGCGTACATAAGAATTGAGGGGTATGTATGTAATTTTTGGTTAGAGGCGATGTAACATTCCTATTAATTGTGCTCTGCTACTTTCTTTCCCTTGATTTTATCCCCAGCTTTTCCATTGACTCTGCCTTGGTGTTGGCAATCATTGATGGTTCACTATTATGTCTCCAACCAGTAAAATGCTGGAAGATTGCAGCGCCGCTGATTTAACCACTAATATTTCGGACTTCTCCATGGCAGGAAACAAGACATTAAGTCTGCCCTTTGCCTTGCCAAAACCACCAGCATTGTGTTTTGAAGGAGGGCGTTGGAGGACAATGAAGATCACGAGAATGGAAATAATAATTTGCAAGAACTCTATAAAAGAGTGCAAGAGAATTATTTGTTGAAATTTACCTAGGTCAATAGCCACACAAAAGAGAAATATTTACAATTATTTATTCGTTAAAACATTTTTCTAATTTTTATCCCACTAATATTCTTCTTCTTATCCCACTAGTATTCTTCCTCTCTCTCCCTCTCTAGCTCCCCCACCGATTATGCTCATCGAAGATACATGAAAGCTTGACCTCTTTTCTGTCGGATTATCTTTCCGGTCACCAGCTCTTGTAATTGTCATTTTTTTTTCATGTGAAGAGTTGGGACTTCCAACCAACCATACTCTCTAGCCTTGGAAGCTTATTGTTGATTATTTCATAGATAAATGTCTTTGTATGGCACCGGTGGAGTTAACAACCTCCAATCACTCAACCAGCAGTCTCCAATTTTGCCTCTGCACTTGGTTTAATGTATGATAATAATAAAAAATGCACATCAATACTATGCAATTAACTTCTTTTGTATCTTTAAAATTGATAGCTGGAAAGCTTATAGATGTTGGGTTGATGACATTTAATTGGTTTTTAAGAATGTATGTAAAGCATATTTAACCAATACATTAGGGGGCTTTGACTTTTTAATTAAAATTGGCATGAAAATTAGGGTATGTTTAGGGCTGCTGTTGATTATTTTTATAATCTGCTAATAAACAGATTATTCTGATAATCTATAGATTATCAGAATAAATTGGCTTGCTGTTTGGGGGAACTTATTCAGAACAACTTATTGGCAACTGTTGTTGGATAAATGATAATTCTGCCCCTGTTTGGTAAAGTTATTTGCAACATAATTGTATTGGGAAAATAATAGATATAACAGAAATCTCAAACTGTCACAGTTCAGTTAAAAAAAAATAAAATATACTGCTCACTATCTCGTGAGTATCAAAAGAAATAAAATAAAGAGAAATACAATTACAA